TCACCTGCGTGATAATTAGGAGGGCGCCAGCCGGTCAAAAAACTGGCGAACGATGCGATCTTTCTATTGCTTGAATTATATTCAATGAAAATTTCAGGAGACATAAATAATATTAATCCTTATAGCTACTGGGCGCCCGGAGCATTCGCTAGCATTCCATTGCCAGCTGCATTACCAACGTCACATTCGCATTACTTTGGGTTCACCATAGTTGACAGTAGATGAGCCGGCCATAGCAAACCCATGCTCTTTATCCTTTCCATCCAAGCAGCCAACTGCCAAGCGATATGGAACAACGCTGGAGTGCGCCATTTGCCTGCGGCAGTGCCCCAACAGCCGGGGCTGTTTGACAGGTCACCCGCACCGTGACCTCGCCACCCGATTTTTTCGACACTTAGTTATACCATGGATGATATAACACTGGATTGGTGTCTCGTGGAAATTAACATTGGGATCCGCGACATTGGGATCAGGCCTGCCATCTAGCGAGAGAATTATCGTAAGTTAGGAGCAAGCCGAGTGAACGCCATCTCTCAGCATTATGACACACGTGGGTGTGGTGTGTTAGTTGGCTTGAAGTGCATCTTCCCACGAGTTGGAGGTAATCTTACTGGACCTGAGACGACAAAAAAATGTCTTAAATGCTTGAAAGCCAAAAAACGTCAAGCAGCCTTTAGGTAATAACGAAAATAAAATGCGTAAGACGGTGTGTATTGAAACGCCCAGTCCCATCGGCTTGTACGACCTTTTATATGGTCATTTACTCACAATGGTACAGCAGTTTGACAATATGTCATGCACATTTGGTAGGCTTATTCCTTCTTCTCCGAATTTCGCCCGATTTTCTTCATCTTAGTTAATGTTACGGCACGTGCCACGTGCCAAGTTAGGGATGTCGAAATTGTTCCACATAAAGTAACTCCACAATGACTGGGCCCATTACAGTAAAACTTCGTCAATAGTTAGGCACCCAGTGACCAATGCATTTCCATGTGTCATCATGGGGGTGCTACTGCACGTGCACACGTGCGGGGTGCCGCTTCCATATCTCAAGAACGGCTGGTTGGATAACACTCAAACTTGGTACACAAATGTCACATCGATGCTCGCACTGCATTGATCAGTAATTCCATTGGTGCAGAGTCGTTAGGAAAACGATGAAATGAGATGCGTGGTGTTTATGCCTTTCTGTTCCAGCAGTTGATTGATCAGCAACAGGAGATCCTTGTTTGTGAAGGGCGAAGGCTTCGTCTCCCTTTTCCACTCCTTGTTTAAAATAACATTAACAATGTACGAAGATCACACATCAAAGTTGTTTTAGGCGGCTATCTTGGGCCAGGGCTGCGGAGTTGTAGTCAGAGCCAGCGGTTCTGTTCCGACTCGAAGTCGGTTGATTTTTAAAAGCTGTAGTCGGAGTATGAATCGAACGTCACCGAAAAGTCATCGACTCCAGACTTACCAGGGCTGCAGAGTCGGAGTCAGAGTCGGAGTCTGTGTGAATCGACAGTTCTGCCCGGAGGAGTCGGAGTCGATATTTGGATACCGGAATCGGAGTTGGAGCCAGTCACTGAAATTTCATCGACTACGCAGCACTGGTTGGGTCCTTTTCATATAGAGCGTCTTGAATGACATATTGAGCGGCAATGACGTTAGCATTCCGTTTAACTTTTTCATTAGACTTATAGATAAGCTTAAGCTAGTTTTGTTCTTTGATCGAACAATTTGTTTGATTTAAGCCATGTAAAGACTCATGTGAAAAATAGCGAAAACGACACGTGCTGGCGAAGTCTCCAATAACTCCCCGTTTCACGATTTAAAGAGGAAATAACAGGGAACCGCTTATATTATTACTCACCCTGCACATAAATTTATTAATTTCTTCGCTTTTGCTGACATATTAAGACGTAACATTTTGAAAAATTGCACATCAAGCCTGCTACTACATCACACTCCCGTGTGTCACAACGCTAATCAGCGGCGTTCACTCGGCTTGCTCCTAACTTACGATAATTCTCCCGCTAGATGGCAGGCCTGAGCTCAATGTCGCCAAAAACTGCGAAGACACCAATCCATTATTATCTCATCCATGGTTATACCCTGACCCGAAAGGTCAACCAATGCTCTATGATCCTGAAATTGGCTGTCACAGGCTTCCCCTCTTCAAGGGGAGCACGCTCATTTTCTGCGAAGCTCTAGCCTGATCAGGAGTCGAGCAGCTGAAGGCTTCGATCGAACTGTGAGCGGCTGTGCAAACGTTAATTCGGACGAGGGTTAGGAGTACGACGGTAAGGGCCATTGTACCTCCGTCGCCACCAGGACCGCCTGCAGATAGCTGCTGGCTCCAGCGAGGCCCCCACACAGAGTGGCATTGCCGTTCCAAAAATTCCCCACACTTCAACATCATCTGACTACATAAACAGCGCTGCTGTATGAGCATATACCTTACTATACCTACCTACACAGCATGCATAGTGATTATGCTGCAATCAACCAATGGTAATCTAGTGGCAAAAAAAAAAGTTCCAAATTGGTTTATTATAGGTGTGGACATCACATAGACATTACACATGAAAATGAGCTGGCAGAGTCCCACACTTAAGCTTGTTAGCTGCTAAGCATATTTACAGAGTTTAACCAATGGTTCTACAAGCTTCTGTGCATATATTCTGGGTGAAATTGCCCTTTTGCACCCCAGGCTCAAACCTGAATAAAAACCACACCAAACTGACTATTGTCCTACCCAGAGTGTGTTTTGAGATAACTTTCTGCAAAGGAATGTAATTTATGGTCCCTCCCTCGCCAAATCATCATCTAATTATTAATGAGATAATTTATGCTCAGCACAATAAAACTAAATTTCAAACACTTGATAAACGGTATGCCTTATACAATAGTTGCACTGCATCTTAAATATATATGAATTTGTCATTGGAAGTGGCGGACAGCATATCACTTAAACCTCTGTGATATTAGGAAGAATATGTTAGACCTTTTTTGGCAAAAACATGGCAAGATAAGAAGTTAGTATTGAACCTGAAAGGAGCGCATAAAACAAACACAGTCGAGCCATCATAACTAACCTGAACAAGAGGAGATTTTCCTTGCATGTCGCCAGTATGTTTGTAGCTGCACACTTCATCCAGGAGACATTTGAGATCAGAATCCTTCATGTTCTCTAGGGTCTTCTCTGTCTCCTGAAAGACAGATGTCATGATGTTTGAAGCTAACTAACCACATTCAGTTGTAAATGAGTCCAGCTTGATGCCATAGCTTTTCGATTGATACCTGATGATAATGACACCTTACGTTGCGAACCAGTAAGGTCTTAGAACAACTAGAACACTTCTTTTACATGAAACTACATCACAGATTCTGATGCCTGCCAAACAAACAGAAAAATAGCTGGCTATCTTTACTTAAGGTCAAGCCTTTAAGTAGCCTGAAGATGAACCAATTGCAAAAAAAAATATATCAGCCAGCCTGACATTTTTCGGATAAATAGCTATTTTCCAATGGTTGTTGAAAATCTTAGGTGACTTCTTAGCTAAATGACAACAAGCAGCTTAAATGCTGGTAAAACTGGTCTCATATATGCACTTACAAAATCATGTATGTAGTTTGAATTTTAAATGATATTTTTCCTTGACATTTAATTGAAATTGCTATAAAAGCAAATGCTATATTGTTTGGCAATTTTTTAAGCAACAGGTCATTCTCAATTCAAAATTGCAACATAAACCTTGGCTTGGGAATGAACTGTTGTTCCAAAATTTGTCTAACAATTAAATATTTGATTTTTATTACAATTTCAATTAACTATCAAGGAAAAATGTCATTTGAAATTCAAATTACATACATAAATCATGATGTCCCTTGCTAGAGCACTAGGCATACTAGGTATTTCATAGAAAACAGGATTGCATTTCAAAAAAACTGAAATGCCTTTTAGGTACCTACCTAACCAGTGAAAAATGGAAACTTCCCATGGAGTGAAAGGGACGAACCTTAAAGGACCCTCTCAACTTCAAAAAAGTTTATGCATCATCATAAAAGTGATGTGCCATGGTTCAGAAAGAGCAAAAATGATTTTTTAGGTACCTGCCAAATTTCACTCAAAATATTCACCAGTTTTTTAGTTATACACTTCACTTTTGTTTACTTTTTGGAGCCTGCTCTGTTCCTATGACATCATTTAGAAGCAATAATTTGGTGTCTTAAAAGTGTGGCAGATGTTGCGCGCAAAGCGGCATATAACTACCACCACTGTCTAACAAGGTTTTAACATCAGATTTTAAAACTGCTAGATCTGTGCTGACATCACAAATTCAGAGGGAGCATTCAAATGTATTAGCCAGTCTGAATCCAAGTGCTGCAATTTTGAAATTAAATCTATTCTATTTAACGCATTTCTCAACCTTGCGAGTACCGAAGCCGCCAATTGTGAGCCAGGCACCCCACTTTGGCAACACTCACTCAAATCCAATGTCAGGGTGAGATGGTCACTTCAAGGCATATCAAAAAAATGTTTCAACCAATAAAACTGAAAATAAAATGCAACCACAAACTACGTTCATAGGTATTGATTCGCACTCAAAATCCTTCAAAATTGACATTACCTTGCTCATAGTTGTCTTGTTCTTATTCATTTTGTCCGTGTTGTTCTGTGATGAATTTAAACAAAAATTATTATGGGAAAATATGTAGTATTTTTGATCCAAGACATCGTTGGCTAACAAAAATAACGTTTCCAACACGCTCTCCACCAAAAAACCCACACACTCAACATTTGCTCAACATATCCATCTTGTGTTGCGGCAAATAAATATCAGATGCTTCATAAATGTAGAAACTTTATGTTCTATCGCACCAATGAGGCGCGTAAGAAATTCTTGCTAAGCCAATTGCAGCATGGAACGTAGCTCGCAGGCGGAACGGGCGGAACCATCATCGGTGGGTCATCAACCTCAACTTATCAATAACGCAGGCTTCAAAAAGAAAAATGATGGAATTGTAAGGCATTAGGTTAGGTATATCCTCACATTCTGCACCTTTCTATGGAAACATCAGGAAATATCAAGTGACTGTGTGTAATTCGACTTGCTGATATACTATGACGTCATGAGTCTTAAAAATACAAGAAAACTTTTCGAAAGTATAACGCCTTGTGGTTCTGTGACGTTTATGGATGTCTAAGACGATTTCGGCTCCTTTTGTTTTTCCGTGCTCCGCGTGGTGCACAGCATTGCGTGCGGCGGGGTTGGTGCGATGTCGGGAATTCATGAGCATATTTTGTAATATATAATAGGGTATTGTTTTCTGAATTTCGAATGTGGTGATAAGATCGTCCCACTTCAACCTTATTTTGTATTTGTCGCCAAACGTGCTGATCAGTTTCTGAAACAGAAAGCTTTTTTTAACTGCGATTCAAAAATGTCGTCCAAACAAAAAAGAAAGCTAGATATTGACGAACCTGTCTCCAGCAAAATGAAGTAAGTATTACTTTCACTTAATTTCAATAAACCCATGGATATTTCATGGCCGAATTAAACAATGAGATAGCTACACCTCCAACCTCATTTATTCAAATTCATGTGTTGGGTCTCCTTAATCCGGGGTTTCGGTAAAGCTGGCGTCACCGTCGCCGCTAACTGGTAAATGTGTTGATGAAGCTAGAAAAAAACATAATCATACTTGACCTACAAAGTTGCCAACTAACCTACAACCTACCAACCTACGATATTAGTAGAGCAGACGTCACACAAAGGTTTTCCAACCATGGAGAGGCGCTATGCCTGGAGGTACTTCTTTCTAACAAAACCTAAACAAACCTAACCTAACCTGACCTAACCTAACCTACAACCAACAACCTACAAACCTACAACCTACAAACCTACAAACCTACCCTACAACCTACAAACCTACAGCGCCTCTCCTTGGTTGGAAAACCTTTGTGTGACGTCTGCTCTACTAATGCCCAACCTACAACCTAACCTTACTACCTACTGCCTACGGTGACACCAGCTTTACCGATACTGATACCGATCCAGGTATTCAGACAAATCAGTTGGGCAAACTAGACTTCTAGAATCAAAATATAGAGGCATCAATAATTTGATTCTGGTGGGAGGAGTCATGACCAAATATGGGCATGGAATCAATTTTTGGATTCAATTGGGTACACTTTTGACTTCAAATGTATCATTACCGTTGAAAAAGGCCCATGGCGGTGAGATTTTTATTTAAATAGGTAGAGAAATGTGGTAGGTATACAAAAAGTGTTACCTCAAAACTAAGAAACTGTCACATATGCACTTGTACTATAAACCAACTGTTAAACTTCTTAGTAGATTAACTAAGGGAATGGCAACATTGCAGAGTACCTGTTTCCTGGAACCAAAATTATCAGCCATAAACATTCCACCAACTTAACCCGCGCCCTGCTGGGGGTCCTGGATTTCCACGCCCTGCGGGGGGGGGGGTGTTTGAACACCCCCCCCCTTGTAACTCCGCTCCTGGGCCACGTAGCGATACGCAGAAGGCGGCGTTCGAAAGAGCGTCAAAAATAATGAGGAAATTACTTCGGTCAATTTTTTGGTCAGGTCAAAGGTCAGGTCACTAGAGGTCATTGAAGGCAAAATTCCGCCGATTTCCAGGTCGAATGTCGAAAATTTCCAAGAAGCCAACGCATAACTCAGGAACCAATAGAGCTACAGCACCGCGGAAAAGCGCATTCGATAGCCCTATTAACGCCCTTTCTGAGTAATACTCTCAGATTTGACCTCACGTCAACGGTTTTGCCTGCAGGGGGCAAAAACTGCAAAAATAGCCGATTTTTTCGAAAACAGTTTTTCTGCAATAACTTTTGACCCAAGCCTTGTACGAGCTTACTTTTACCGGCATCGTGTTCCTCTCGTCAAGACGCATCGAATGAACTATGACTTGACCTTGAAAGGTCAACTTGAAAATTTGACCTCAGGTCAAGGTCATGACCTGACCTGAAAGGGTCATGTTGCATAACAGTCGATCCGTATCGTCGAGCTGAACACATCTAAGGCGTTTTCATCGCTCTAGCGTGCCTCTATCAAAAGTTATTTGCGAAAAACTGTTAGATACCATTCGTGACCTAAGATGACCTCAGGGCATAAACAAGGGTCACGGACACCATTTTCAAGTTCAGTGTGTCTAAACCACTTGTAATTCGGTGTTTGGGAGTGTTTATAATGTCTTTCATCCAAAAGAGGCGCATTTCAATTTTCTCCCATTGACTTATAATGGGGAGGTCGCAAAATTGACCTGACCTTAGGTCATCGATATCAAAATTCTTAGATATACATTTTGTACATGCTATTGCTCTTAGCAATCGCTGAAAGTTTCAAAGCGATCGGTCACTCGGTGTAGCTATGACAGACATTGAAAGTTTTTATGAGGTGAGGTCACTTCAAGTGACCTGGTGACCTGACCTTGAATGACCTTGGTCTGAAATTTTCACACCATGTGTAGAATTGATGTATGATAAGGTGTACCAAAAACGGCGGCGCTCCGCGCCGCCGTTTTTGAGATATTCGCGAAAAACCACAAGGGGGGGGGGGTGTTCAAACCCCCCCCCCCAGCAGGGCGCGGGTTAAATACGGGACAAACCTGATGTCCAATGATGCTGGTCTCTAGAGGTTGAACATGATGTAGAGTTTAGACATATGATGAGATGTCAAGTGGAGATGTTATGGTCACATTGATCTAATGATGTATGTAATGATGCTCTACATATAGCTGTATTGATTATGTGGCCCCTCATGTTATTGCAACCAGTGTCTTTGGTATGTTCCTTACTTGATGCTGATATTTTCAGACGAGAGGACAAACGGCCAAAGGACAATGACGACAGGTAAAGTGGAAATCGAAAGTCAATATGTAACCTCTTGAATATTAAGTTTTAGTTTTGTGAAACTTTATTTAATTGTCATGTATGTTGTTCTGGGCCTGTCTTCATTTCATCAGTTGACCTGAGACCTTGAAATTGTTGCCAATCGACACATTTAATGACAAGCACCAAGGTAACTTTTTGCGACACTGCTTCTCAATGGAAGGGGCGAAACAGCGAGGGTGTCTCCCATTTTCTCGTACTCATACCTCTCCCATTTTCTCGGTCGTAGAGAAGGCATGCTGAAAACTGGAACGTTTGACAGATGTTTCACGTGTGTAGTGTACTGTAAACTATAAATCAGTGCATTATTCTTTTAGTGATGGTAGTGATGCCTCATATGTATGTGGTTTCATTGGCCCATTCATGGTTCGATTGACCAGTCCTTGGATTGACCTGTCCGCGGTTGGATGGGCCCTTGCCGCGGTCGGAGATGGCCCGTCGGCCGCCGTTCCCGCTGCGTGCAGCGCGCGCTGACGGCTCGGTGGCCGGTTTCAGTCGGGAGGGGCGGGACGCGGCCGGCGGCGGCGACTCGTCGCGCCACGAGGAGCCGCCGCGCACCATGCCGGCCATGCAGACCAACCCGCTGACGGGCCTGCCGTACACCAGCCGCTACTACCAGCTGTTCAGGAAGCGCATCGGCCTGCCCGTGTTCGAATACAAGGAGAAGTTCTTGGAGCTGATGGACAACCACCAGAAGATCGTGCTGGTCGGAGAGACCGGCTCCGGGAAAACCACGCAGATCCCCCAGTGGTGAGTTGCAACGGTGGGCTGGGCGAGATCACTGGCAACGGTGGGCTGCTGTAGATCAGTGGCAACGGTGGGAGATACTGCAGGGATGAGTGGCAACGATGGGGTACTGAGGATGGCGAGGGACCGGCAGGGGGGGGGGGGACATTTCTGGACGGCTGACTGAGATAGGAGCAATATGTTTTCAGTTAGCGTCCCCTTTAGTTAGTCGTCTACGAATGCTGCTAACTCCCGTCCCCGTGTGTGATCGCCTGCTAATGGCTGTTCGTCTCTGTGTGCGCCAGGTGCGTGCACTGGGCGCGCGCCAAGGGCAAGAAGGGCGTGGCGTGCACGCAGCCGCGGCGGGTGGCAGCCATGTCGGTGGCACAGCGCGTCTCCGAGGAGATGGACGTGGCCATCGGCCAGGAGGTGGGATACAGCATCCGGTTCGAGGACTGCTCCTGCCCCAAGACGCTGCTCAAGTACATGACGGACGGTATGCTGCTGCGAGAGGCCATGTCGGACCCCATGCTGGAGAACTACCAGGTGAGACGTCAGACGGCGCAGCTCAGCCAAACAGCGCCGGCGTGTGCTGTGCTGAGATGCTTCTGTGCTGCATTTTCAGCTGTCGCTATCTCATCCATCAGCTGGAATGGAAAATATGTGTTAGCTGTATCTGTACCTACAACTGACGACGTAACAAATAGCAGACACGTCATTAGTAGTGGCTGAGACCGTTGGTCGTTGGTGTGGCGGCGCGTTCACCTCCCCGACGCTGGCCGCCAGGTTCTGCTCCTGGACGAGGCCCACGAGCGCACGCTGGCCACCGATATCCTGATGGGCGTCATCAAGGAGGTGGTCAAGCAGCGGCCCGACCTCAAGATCGTCATCATGTCGGCCACGCTGGACGCCGGCAAGTTCCAGCAGTACTTTGACGGCGCGCCGCTGATGAACGTTCCCGGCCGCACGCACCCGGTCGAGATTTTCTACACTCCCGAGCCGGAGCGCGACTACCTGGAGGCGGCCATCCGCACCGTGGTGCAGATCCACATGTGCGAGGAGGTCGAGGGCGACATGCTGCTCTTCCTCACCGGTCAGGAGGTCAGGAGGGGGGACTTATCCCATTGGGTGGGGCGGGATGTAACGAACGGAAAAACTTGCCCAATGGTTGATAGTTTGGTAGAGTGACTGACTCACCTTACAAAGCAAGAGATACGTATAGGTGACTTATTCACCGGACAGGACGGGAGGTAAGATTACCATTCGTGTCAGGAGGGGGACGGCCTGTTTCTCATCATACGGAGTAATTAGGGTCAAGGGGAAGGGGGTACCTATCCTTCTAACTCCACAGGGTAGCATGAGGGCGCGGGCTGACATTCCCCGCGCCGCGCCGCCCGCAGGAGATCGAGGAGGCCTGTAAGCGGCTGAAGCGGGAGATTGACAACGTGGGCCCCGAGATCGGCGAGCTGAAGTGCATCCCGCTGTACTCGACGCTGCCGCCGGCGCTGCAGCAGCGCATCTTCGAGCCGGCGCCGGCCAACCGGCCCAACGGCGCCGTCGGACGCAAGGTGGGCGGCAGGGGGAGGCGCTGAAGGGGGGGGGGGGTAGAGTCAAGGGAGAGTCGGGAGCTACTGTGTTGGCGCGTTTATTAGTGGGACCCTCATGGCGGCGGCTGGGGTGTACAAGAAAGGTTGTCGGCGGATTGCCGAACATCTGCCAGCGAGGGGTCTATTTTACTGTTGGCTGGGTGTCCAGGGGACTGGTTGAGCTCGCTGTAGTCGTTACCAGGTAGCCGGGGCGCAGTATAACTCCGCACGGTGATGTTTCACGCGCTGCGGTCGCTCACTCGGCCCGCCACTGTCCGCGCGGCTTGATGGAGCTCGTTGTGACCTGTGTGTGACCGTGTTTCCCCGGCCGGCCGGCGATGTGTGACCGTGTTTCCCCGGCCGGCCGCCAGGTGGTGGTATCGACAAACATCGCCGAGACGTCTCTAACCATCGACGGCGTGGTGTTCGTGATCGACCCGGGCTTCTCCAAGCAGAAGGTCTACAACCCGCGCATCCGCGTGGAGTCGCTGCTCGTCTCACCCATCAGCAAGGCGTCGGCGCAGCAGCGCGCCGGCCGCGCCGGCCGCACCAAGCCCGGAAAGTGCTTCCGGCTGTACACGGAGAAGGCGTTCAAGTCTGAGATGCAGGACAACACGTACCCGGAGATCCTGCGCTCCAACCTGGGCACCGTGGTGCTGCAGCTGAAGAAGCTCGGCATCGACGACCTGGTGCACTTTGACTTCATGGACCCGCCGGCGCCGGAGACGCTGATGCGCGCGCTGGAGCTGCTCAACTACCTGTCGGCTCTGGACGACTCGGGCAACCTGACCGACCTGGGCGCCATCATGGCCGAGTTCCCGCTGGACCCGCAGCTGGCCAAGATGCTGATCGCCTCCACCGAGTACAACTGCAGCAACGAGATACTCAGCATCACGGCCATGCTGTCAGGTGAGCGGCCGCGGCCGACCAGATCACCGTACTAGTGGCGGCGGCGCCGGCTGGGCCAGCCGAGCGCCGGCGGCTGGAAGTCATGGCTGCCGTGGTATTTGATCGTGCTTTCTAAAAAGATACTGGAAGCATGTGCTTTTAAATGTCAAGGTGTGCTCTGTAATCAAAGCAAATGCAACAGTAACTAACGTACCTAGCTTGAGTGTGGACACTTGTGAATCATATCCAGCAAAGTTAGCCTGTCGCAGACGATCCGGGCGGCTGACTGGCCCGCCCGTCTGTCTCTGTCTGTCTGTGTGTGTGTCTGTGTGCGCCGGGCGGTGGGCGGTGCCGCCACCCCCACCGCCCGGCCTGACTCTGTCGGTGCGCCTCCGTAGGTCAAACTAACGGGCCGGACGCGGGGGCGCGCTCCTGCCTCCTCCTGAACTCTAGTTCCACAGTGTTTCGTGCGGCCAAACGACGCGCGAAAGGCCGCCGATGAGTCCAAGATGCGGTTCGCGCACATAGACGGCGACCACCTGACGCTGCTCAACGTGTACCACGCCTTCAAACAGAGTGAGTGTCGCTCCCTGCCGCTCGCTCTCTCCTTCCTGCCGCTCGCTCTCTCCTCCCGGGGCTGGGCTGGACGTGTACCACGCCTTCAGACAGACTGAGTGCCGCTCCCCACCGTTCCTCCCGGGACTGGGCTGGACGTGTACCACGCCTTCAGGCAGACTGAGTGCCGCTCCTCCCGGGACTGGGCTGGACGTGTACCACGCCTTCAGACAGACTGAGTGCCGCTCCTCCCGGGACTGGGCTGGACGTGTACCACGCCTTCAGACAGACTGAGTGCCGCTCCTTCCGGGACTGGGCTGGACGTGTACCACGCCTTCAGACAGACTGAGTGCCGCTCCCCACCGTTCCTCCCGGGACTGGGCTGGACGTGTACCACGCCTTCAGGCAGACTGAGTGCCGCTCCTCCCGGGACTGGGCTGGACGTGTACCACGCCTTCAGGCAGACTGAGTGCCGCTCCTCCCGGGACTGGGCTGGACGTGTACCACGCCTTCAGACAGACTGAGTGCCGCTCCCCACCGTTCCTCCCGGGACTGGGCTGGACGTGTACCACGCCTTCAGGCAGACTGAGTGCCGCTCCTCCCGGGGCTGGGCTGGACGTGTACCACGCCTTCAGACAGACTGAGTGCCGCTCCCCACCGTTCCTCCCGGGACTGGGCTGGACGTGTACCACGCCTTCAGGCAGACTGAGTGCCGCTCCTCCCGGGACTGGGCTGGACGTGTACCACGCCTTCAGGCAGACTGAGTGCCGCTCCTCCCGGGACTGGGCTGGACGTGTACCACGCCTTCAGACAGACTGAGTGCCGCTCCTCCCGGGATTGGGCTCAACGTGTACCACGCCTTCAGACAGACTGAGTGCCGCTCCCCACCGTTCCTCCCGGGACTGGGCTGGACGTGTACCACGCCTTCAGGCAGACTGAGTGCCGCTCCTCCCGGGACTGGGATCAACGTGTACCACGCCTTCAGACAGACTGAGTGCCGCTCCCCACCGCTCCTCCCGGGACTGGGCTGGACGTGTACCACGCCTTCAGACTGAGTGCCGCTCCCTACCGCTCCTCCCGGGACTGGGCTGGACGTGTACCGCGCCTTCAAACAGAGGTGCCGCTCCCTACCGTTCCTCCCGGGACTTGGCACCAAGGAACCGGGACGGGGGCTTTGGGGATGGGTATTAGCGCATAGACCCTTCCTCAGTTCATCGTGAAGACTGATGACATACCGCAACCTTTTTTACTCTCCTGTTTAATGCTGTTTTAGTCGCTAAATACTCCCCTAAGGCACTGGGTCAGCTGTGACCAGTAATTGTCTCTGCTGCGATCAGTGCAACTGAGATAACTGAGAGCCTCAATGTGATTTGCTGCTAACACAGCCGTGGGTTGGGAAGTGACTGAAGCGTGTACTGGCCATTTATCCGTACCATACGTTCCCGTGTACGGCTCCTGTACGGCCCGGCGCGGTCTGACGGGCGCGGCTGCGCCGGTGACCTGTCCTGCTGCAGACATGGAGGACCCGCACTGGTGCCACGACAACTTCGTCAACTACCGGTCGCTCAAGTCGGCCGACAACGTGCGCCAGCAGCTGTCACGCATCATGGACCGGTTCAACATGCCGCGCCGCTCCACTGACTTCACGTCGCGCGACTACTACATCAACATCAGGAAGGCGCTCGTCTCCGGCTTCTTCATGCAGGTGGGCGCCCGGACCGGGACCAGGCTGGGGTCAGCGGGACCGGACCGGGACCAGGCTGGGGTCAGCGGGACCGGACCGGGACCAGGCTGGGGTCAGCGGGACCGGACCGGCCCGGGACCAGGCTGGGGTCGGTCAGCGGGACCGGACCGGGACCAGGCTGGGGTCAGCGGGACCGGACCGGACCGGGACCAGGCTGGGGTCAGCGGGACCGGACCGGGACCAGGCTGGGGTCAGCGGGACCGGGCCGGGCTGGGGTGGGATGGGGAGGTGGGGTCAGCGGGACCGGGCTGGGGGAGGGGACGGCGCGAGGGAGATGTTCAGAGGACTGAGTTCGTGGCCGGTCGTTTTGTGTTGCTCGTTTAGGGTTCCTCTCAAACCCGCCCCGCTCACCCCGGTGACGGCCGTCCCCCTCGATCTGCAGGTGGCGCACCTGGAGCGGACCGGCCACTACCTGACCTGTAAAGACAACCAGGTGGTGCAGCTGCACCCGTCCACCTGCCTCGACCACAAGCCCGAGTGGGTGCTCTACAACGAGTTCGTGCTCACCACCAAAAACTACATCCGCACCGTCACCGACATCAAAGGTGAGCCGACGGCACGGGTCGCGCGCCCACTGGGGAGGGGCTGTGTCGGGTGCTGCCGTCTGCACCTGCGGGCTACCAGACGGCTGTATGGCTGCCGAGGCTGCCCGACGATTGAGTAAGACTGTGCTGTGCTGTGCTGCTCTTCAGTTGCACTTTATCGAACAGTAGGAAACTTCCCTGGTTTCTATTGGAGTCTTATCTGTTACGTTCAGTCCATCGCTGCTCGATGGAAAATACGCGGAAGCATCCACGGAGGAACACACCATTAAATGGACTTAGCTGGTGAAGATGTTTCGCGTTTTATCGGGATTATTGTTTGCTGTCCGGTCTGGATTCTTCCCTGGGAATGCCGTGTATCGGCCGGCCTGACCGGCGGGACATGGCGTGTAACGAGCTATTACCACTGTCTGGCCTGGGCCTATGGTCCGCCTGACGTCAGCCGGGGTCGGCTCCGTATCTGGACTGTAGTCCGCCTGACGTCAGCCGGGGTCGGCTCCGTATGGACTGTAGTCCGCCTGACGTCAGCCGGGGTCGGCTCCGTATGGACTGTAGTCCGCCTGACGTGCAGCCGGGGTCGGCTCCGTATGGTCCGCCAGCCTGAGGTCGGCTCCGTATGGTCCGCCCGACGTGCAGCCGGGGTCGGCTCCGTATGGTCCCCCTGACGTGCAGCCGGGGTCGGCTCCGTACGGTCTATGGTCTGCCTGACGTGCAGCTGGGGTAGGCTCCGTATGGTCCGTGCTGGGGTCGGCCCCGTCCGTGTGTGTTGGCCTGCAGCTCTGTGGCAGTGGCTGACCGCGGCCGACACCTGGTGTGTGCCTGTTGGAAAACCGCAGCACGACGCCGGCCACAGCATCGGCCGGTATTCCTACAGCTGTTACGGCTAATGATACTCCAGTGTTTGCATGATTTTCTCGGCATTCCGAGTGTATTTGTGGCATGCTGTGGAAACGAAGCGCCGTGGTATTTTTGATCGAGGTCAATATTCAGTGAATATTTCGTAACAGGAGCTCGCTGTATTTTACGACCAATGACTGCCGGGTGTCTGACCTGTGGCCAGACTGACCTTTCTGACCAGGATCTGGCCGGTGTGATGTGTGACCTGCCTGTGTCTTACCAGTGACCTGTCTGACCGGCCATGTATCTATACAGTGGCCTGTATCTGAAGGGCGCGTCCCCGTTTCAGCGGAGTGGCTGGTGAAGATCGCGCCGCAGTACTACGACATGGCCAACTTCCCGCAGTGCGAGGCCAAGCGGCAGCTGGAGCTGCTCATCGCCAAGCTGGAGTCCAAGCAGTTCCAGCAGGGCTACTAGGCGGCGGCGGCGCGGAGCCCACCACAGGTGCCGTGACCCGTGCCGACCCCGCCGGGACGAGCCCCGGGCCCACAGACCGACACAGACATTGATACGTTCATAGACATTGTACGTGGGCCCGTGACCGCGCGCTGGCCGTCTTGCGTGTGCCGCCCGAGCGCCGACCAGACTGATCGGTCGGCGGGGGGGGGGGCTGATCGGAGCGGGGAGTGGGGGGGGGGGGGACTCATCGGGACAGGAGCCGCTGCTCTCGGAGGGTCTCTGTCGCGTCCTCCCTCCGCCGGTCTACGCTCCGGCTGTGTGGCTTCGCCGCGCTCGTTTTAGGTTCACTTCATACACGATATGTGCGGGCTGGCCGCTGTATCTTCTATGTTTTGCCTGCCTGGTGGGCGGATAGCTGGCTCTAGTACCTGGGACAGTCGGTTCACCCCTCTCGGGCGCCGCGGGCCAGACGGGCACACCGAACTCACAACCATCCACACACAGCGGGCGGTGCTCCGCCGCGCGCCTCTGACCCGGCGCGGCGCGGTGGCGGAACCTTCTGACGAGCTCTGCTGAATACATGTTCGTGATCGGAGGAGATATCGGTGTCTGTGCGCGCCTGCAGTCCGCGGCCGCGCGCCGCTCTGCCCTGGGGAGTGATCTGCAGCTACTTGGGGAGACAAGGGAAACTTTCAGCGACTGTTTGAGGCGGGACACAACTGGGGCAGACGGAGCGCTGCCCGCAGCTGGGGAGACGGGCCGCGAGCGTGGGTAACGGAGCCCTGCCCGCGACTGGGTCAGGCGAAGAATGGCCCGCGTCTGGGCCACGTTGGAGGCGGTTGGAGAGGCTGAGCACTGCGTGCCAGGAGGCGCGGTGGTGCAGTTGGTACTGGGGGGGGCGGGGGGGGGGGGGGGGGTCCGTGCGGGTCAGGGTGTGTGCCGCCCGACCCGTGACCACCCGGGTGATCGCTAGTCGCGCCGGTGATGCTCTAAAGCTGGCATTTGACGCTGATACTGGTAGATCATTTCCACGAAAGAGTCTGTTCACATGGACGGTGTGTCAGACGACCAGAAACGGGCGTGGGAAAGGTGAAATTTGTGTTTTCTTGAAGGTGAGTCGTTATGTTCAGCCTGCACGCAAATGGCCATTTTCTCCTTTCGGTGATATATCTGAGGGAATAACATCTCGGTCGTAAATCCTTGTTGCTTCCAGCGTTATCGCACAAATGCGTAGAAAGTGGCCGGTTGCGTGGGACGGGCGGCCGGGTCCCGTGCCGCGCGTCACTTTGCTGGGACTTTGGCCACGTGCACACGGCACGTTATTGCAGCGTTCACAGGGCAATGTGTGCCGTCCAGGGCCGAACGGGTCGTTCCAACAAACGACCATCGTCGCCGTGCCATGTCAGCCATCGCTTTGTTACCGACAACCATCGCTAATGGCCTGCCGAACGGCTCCGTTCGCGGCTCCCAATTTGTGCAGGAACAGTCGGTTTTATTGTTGGCCTGTGGTTGAAATTACCGGCCGGTGTATGAGCCATGTCGTACGGGTGGATTCCTCGGAAGATGTAATCTGCCGTAGTTTGGCGCGGTGTCGTTCATTTTTGTTCAATTGGCTAGTGAACGGTTATGGCGGGGCCGGGTGGCTCTGTTCCCGGGATAGGCCGGGGGTCCGTACCCGGAGCGGCGGCCGTGGTCCGGTCGGTTTCTTCTGTCCGTCTGTCTGTCTGTCTGTTTGTCTGTCCGTCTGTCTGTCTGTCTGTCTGTCTGTCAGTACTCTGTCTGGTCGGACCTGTTCACTGACCATCGGACAGGTGCCAGCCGGCTCCGAGGGGACCGCCGGTAGCTCGTGACTCTGCCGCCGTCACCTATCCCTGCACTGTCGCTTACCGCCGGAATAGGTCATTTGTACGTCATCTGCTCGGCCTCCGGGAACTAAATACTAACCGATCCGTGATCCGTGAGTCCAACCGACCGTTGGTGTCGTGCGCGCCGCGGCCGAGCGAGCTGCTGATCAGTGCAGCCCAGATCGTGTATCGAACCTTAACCCTATTAGTGGCAGGGGGGGGGTTGTTTTTATCCACCCCTCAGGTTTTTCGGGAATATCTCCGAAACCGCTGAAGCTACGATGCTGAAATTTTCTGACTTTTCCTAAAACTAAATTGGGCACATTCCCTGAAAATTTCAAGTTCATAACTTTACCAGGGGCGGCTCCAGAGCACTGGGAATTGGGGGTCCTATTCGTGAAGCGAGTCATTTGGGCGAAGATCACGATGCTGCACCAGTTTTACGAACAGTGAATGAAAGGTATCATGTGATAACATATACAAAGTTATTGTGCATCCTCTTTTGACACGTTTTTGCTATAATAGGCGGATCCAGGCGTCCAAAAAGTTTTTTTTTTTACCTCCCAACATAGGTGCCCTGACACCGCCTATGCATGACCAATACAATTTTAGTCGTTCTCTCATAAGAAAATTGTAACATAACAAGACCATTGCCACCCTTTTTAGAAACAGTACCAACAAAAACCTTATTTACTATACTTTTTGTGTACCCCCAATCTCAATGATCTGTATCCGCCTATGATTTTTGAAAATGCATATTTTTAGGATCCATGTGAATTCCTGGTTCATTCTCTATCGATCGGCAAAAGTTGCGTTAAGATTGGTTCAGAAACCTGGCCGTGATAAACAGTCTAAAATGTATCTGCAATTTGCCCGTTTTTACCCCCCTCTACCCCCCTATTGACATTTTTTAATTTTATTTTTTTTAGAAATGTAGATCTCGTTGAGCCAAATCGAATGCCGTTTGAATTTTGAAAATCGGCCGGTTAGATCTCGAGATATCAAGGGGGTCGTAAACAGCCCCCCCCCCCCCTGCCACTAATATGGGGTAGCCAGGAGCCTGCCACTAATAGGGTTAACCCTCGCCCGTAAACGGTGTTTTGCCACCTTCGCCCATGCAGGGGGGGGGGTTGGTGCGACCCCCCCCCGGCGTTTGAAAACGGAGCGTCGTAGAGCTTAGCGGAAAAGACCAACGGATTGCTCTCAACGAGATCTCGCGATTGGTGGTATATTTTTTGGTCCTAGGTCAACATTTGACCTACTTATGACCGGTCAAAGGTCAAATTTTCGGAAAAATCTAAGTTTTCATATCTCCGCGCCGATTGCGGCAAAACGGTAAGAGATATCGACTTGAAACCTTCACTATCGTGATCCTTGATCAATTCTCTATCTTTTGGTGTGTATTTCGATGTCATAACTCTAAAAATGATGCGTTGAGAGCATCGGAAGTCTGCAAAGTCATTTGTGCATTGGGTCACGTCAGGCGTGTGACGTCACTGACCTGACCCTGACCCAAAATGAACTACAAGAAACAACTGACGATGCCTGAAATGGATAGCAAATTCGAATTCAGGGCATCAAAATACCCCGAAAAGGCATACAAGTGCAAGAAGTCATTACAGGTCAACCGAGGTCACTGACCTTACCTTGACCTTTAGTAACCTTCAAAATGTCAACGAACATTGTGCCAATGTCAAATCAGCCAGTTGTGATTCTAAAACAATCCATCAGTGTGTCAGGTCAGTCGGCATTTATACCAGTGTGAAGCAATCTCCAATTTAGCGTAAATCTGGCCGGAGGTTGTTCCCTTTATGACGTCATAACTCCGTGACCTGACATGACCTTGACAAAAAAAAAAAATACCAAAAGTTGCGCAAAGGATGCCCCAGAGGGTACTGAAAATTTGAGCAGGCTATCTGAAACGGTTCGGTGTGTAGCTAAGAAAAACCTCGGGGGGGTTGCACCAACCCCCCCCCCCCTCCCTACATGGGCGAGGGTTAACATGTCAACATCCGATCGCCGAAACGTCATTCCATTGGTCCATGGTTATTGGTCATATCTTCCGTTCTGATTCTCTATTTCATCAGTACATTGGTATCGTCTCCATTACTCCATCCCTTTGCCATCCCCTAGTGGCGCCTCCATTCCATCGGTCGTTCCTTCTTCATCTCCACTAGGGAACAGTCTTGATTTCATTGGTCGAAATCCTCCCATAGTGTCGTGCGGCACAGCCTACCCTGCAGTGGTGCCGTGCGGCACAGTCTACCCTGCAGCAGTGATGTCGTGCGGCACAGTCCACCCTGCAGTGGTGCCGTGCGGCACAGTCTACCCTTCAGTGGTGTCGTGCGGCACAGTCTACCCTGCAGTGGTGCCGTGCGGCACAGTTTACCCTGCAGTGGTGCCGTGCGGCACAGTCTACCCTGCAGTGGTGCCGTGCGGCACAGTCTACCCTGAAGTGGTGCCGTGCGGCACAGTGGTGTCGTGCGGCACAGTCTACCCTGCAGTGGTGCCGTGCGGCGTAGTCTACCCTGCAGTGGTGTCGTGCGGCACAGTCTACCCTGCAGTGGTGCCGTGCGGCACAGTCTACCCTGCAGTGGTGCCGTGCGGCACAGTCTACCCTGCAGTGGTGTCGTGCGGCACAGTCTACCCTGCAGTGGTGTCGTGCGGCACAGTCTACCCTGCAGTGGTGTCGTGCGGCACAGTCTATCCTGCAGGGGTGTCGTGCGGCACAGTCTACCCTGCAGTGGTGCCGTGCGGCACAGTCTACCCTGCAGTGGTGCCGTGCGGCACAGTCTACCCTGCAGTGGTGCCGTGCGGCACAGTCTACCCTGCAGTGGTGTCGTGCGGCACAGTCTACCCTGCAGTGGTGTCGTGCGGCACAGTCTACCCTGCAGTGGTGTCGTGCGGCACAGTCTATCCTGCAGTGGTGTCGTGCGGCACAGTCTACCCTGCAGTGGTGTCGTGCGGCACAGTCTACCCTGCAGTGGTGTCGTGCGGCACAGTCTACCCTGCAGTGGTGTCGTGCGGCACAGTCTACCCTGCAGTGGTGTCGTGCGGCACAGTCTACCCTGCAGTGGTGTCGTGCGGCACAGCCTACCCTGCAGTGGTGTCGTGCGGCACAGCCTACCCTGAAGTGGTGTCGTGCGGCACAGTCTACCCTGCGGTGGTGCCGTGCGGCACAGTCTACCCTGAAGTGCACAGTGATGCAAATGGGGTTCACGAGTGGCCATAAATACCCAAAAGTCAAGTTTACCAAATCGAGTTAATTGCGATATGGCCGAGTAGACAAATGTTTGGGGCATCTGAAATCACATGGTTTTCATGTTTTTGTCAAAACCGGCCTCGTGTATAATCGTCAGAAGTCGTGACATTTTCTAGGTCGTAAAATGACGGTCAGACACTCGCAAGTTCAAACGCCGCTGGTTTGCGTTCATTTCGTACAAATTGAAAAAAATTATGCATGGGAATGATGCCCAAAGCCTTCTGCTTCTAATGCTGGGTCACAAAAAGCCGCATCTCATTCGCTTTGGCGGTAATCTGACTATTTATCAATTCATCATGTTGCAATCGCAGTTTTTTACTAAGAAAAAAATGCTTTCGTTTCACCTACAGCACTTAACCCTATTCCTGGCGGGCTCCGCCGGGACAAGAAACTGGCGGGGGGGGGCCGATTCGGCCCCCCCCTGAGATCTTGAGAACGAAGCAAGATAGCGACAAGCGGCAAACGGCATCGGATACGCACGGTCAAGATCTACA